GCGGGGAGGAGGAGAGGGAACGATGGGGAGGGGGGTGGGAGGGCAGGGGGAGGCTGTAGCGCCACGGGCATGGTCTGACCACCCAGGGACTACCACTTCGGTCCTGAGAACTAGGTTTTGAAGTAGCTATTGCTAAAGAAAACAGTCACTATTTATTTTATTGCACTTTTCCTCTTTAAAAAGACTCGCACACGGACGATGAGACATGGAGCTGAGTTGGGGGGGGGGGCGGGAAGGAGGGGCACGTGAACTCAATCAGCTAGACCAGCCCGGCTGCACCTGTCCTGTCTGCCGCCTCGATGGGCTGGTCTCAGCAAGGGCCCCGTCTGAGGATGGGGATGGTGGTCCCGGGAGCCACGGGGCTGCCTCCTTGCAGCCAGCGGCCGGCCAGGCGGCTCAGATGGCTCACGCTCTTAATGAGGTTAGGGTCAGGGGTTCGAACCTGGCCATGGATCCTTTGCCACGGCTGGGGCCCTCCACGGTGCTGCCATAGAGCCCCCTGGACCTCACAGCCCACGTGAACCTGCCCTCCTGGACCAGGTGGCCATCCCGGTGGAGGCTCCTGGCAATGCCCCCCAAAGAGCCGGACCTGGGGTGGGGCTCCCCACCGTCCACCGAGTCAACATGCCAAAGCACCGCGCGCTTCCTGCCGGACACGGGCGGAGGGTACCACCTTGCATGCAATGTGCCAGCCATCCTGGGGTTTCCTTATGGGAAAGCCGGCCCCGCCCCTCTTCAGGAGGCAGCCCCGAACCCCCAGCCCGAGCCTTGCAGAGGGTGCCGCCTTGTCCACATGGATTGGCCTGATGCGCACGCCGACCGGGACGTCACTGGGCCAAAGTCCTCACCGGAACGGAGCAAGAGGCCAGAGGGAGCAGACAGGAAGCCCTACTGCGCGCCCCACCCAGGCTGGGGGCTCGGGCCAACACAGCTTTCAGGGGAGCCCCTTCCACATCGGGCAGTGGGGTTTGGACACACTCCCCCGGGGCCCCCCTTATAAGGCTAACCTCCTGGTGACACTCTGCCCATCCTCAGACGCCCAGCTGGGAGGGGGGGGGGGAGACGGGAGAGGAAGAGCGGGGGTCCGACACCACAGAAGCTCGGGGAGCACCCAGCCTTCACTCGTCCTTCCTTAACATCCGGCCCCTGAAGAGCTTCCTCGGAAATGGGACTGGCTCGGCCTCCCTCTCTCCACCCCCCTCTCGCCCCGACAGCCCACCCACCGGCCTGGAACCTCTCTCCCTCCAGCCTCCGGAGACCCCACCTTTCCCAGAGGCGGACCCTGCAGAGGCACCTGCCGGAGCGAAAGGGAAATGGGCACCCTGGAAAGGCCGGCATTTTGCATGAACTTTGCAACCGTGGGCCCACCCATCCATCCGGTCCCTGCAGCCATGGCTTCCTCCGTGGAGACCGGGAGCTGTGACGGTCCTCAAGGGAGCAGGTGGGACACATCTACACTCCCGGGGGCCTGATCAGACGCCTGACTCCACCCCCGGCCTCCATGTGAGGGGAAGACTTTGCAAACACACACACACCGGGCTCTGACCTGGTCCTCCCCGCGGGCAATCCCCAGCAGCCATCGCACCAAGCACTTCCGGGGCCTTGGGACATGGGGTCCAAGGGAGGCCCTTTGGCAGAGAGGGGCCGCTCACTTGTGTAGCGTCAAGTTCATCTTTCGTCGTGTGTTACTGAAGCTGGATGGCGTGGGGGTCCTCCGGGCACAGCCGCGGGAGGGAGGCAGGGCATGGGGGGGGGGAGCATGCAGGGGTTGAATGCAAACTGAGGGGAACCACAAGCACAAAGGGAGCTCCTTTTAAGAGAGAAATCTGTATGAAGTCCCGACTTTCCGACCAGACCCCCCCCTCACCCACCCACAACGCCACTGGGGTTGGAGGGCAATGAGGTCTGTGGACTGAGAGCGTGTTGGGGCATCTTCGCTCGGGCTCTGGGCCCAGGACACTCGCTTCTTAAACCATCGCTGCTTCTCACGGAGGGGGTCTGGGTCCAGAGAGCCCAGGGGCTGGGAGCTGGGGCTACTGGTTCTAGGTATGGACTGGCTTGGAGGGAAAGGGCAGGGCAAGGAGGTGTGTTCACAGACCAGGCGCTGTCCCAGGCTCTGCCACACGCCGAAGCCCGGTTTCTGGTGGAAGGTGGACAGGCAGAAACCCCAGGAGAGTCCTGGTCTTCATCACAGATCTTGACAATGGGGACCCCATCTTTCTGCTTTGGATGTTGGGGGCTACTTCTGTGAAATCGGGGGGTGGGAGGGAGAGGAGAGACTAAAGGAAGAGACTTCTGGAAGGATACAGAGGGGTGTGGACCCAGGCCAGGGAGAGGTGATTACATCTGATCTTCTGTGTATACCGAGGAATTTATAGCTCTGGGGGCGGAGCAATGGGTCTGAGTACATGTATGCATCTCAGGTACATTGTGTGTCTTGGTTGTGTGTGCTGCCTGTTGTATGCCTTGTAAGAGTCAAGACATCGTGTGTTTACGCCGAGTGTGTGTATTTGGAGTGCAGAGCAACAGCTGATTAGCCTTCCTGTATTCCGTAGGTGCATTCCTTGTGTTTGTGTGTGTTTGTGTGTTTTGCACGTGGTGCAGGTCATGTCTTGTACATGTGCATGTAGGTCTTTGTATATGTTCTGCATTGGTACGTCCATTCTGTGTGTATGCTGGATGTGTATTTTGGATACAGATATAACCACGTACCTATCTTAATTTGGTCTCTGTGTGTTTTGCATGTTTGTTGCGTGTTTTATCTTGATGTATATGGCAACAATGTACCTCTTTGAATGTGGGTGTGCATGCACGTGTGTCCGTGTGTGTGAAGGTTTTGCAGTCCTGGGCCAAGGACACGGGGATAACACATCTACCCTTGACCGAGGCCTTAGGAACGGGTAGGGTCCCGCTCGCCCCACGTCTCGGAAGTTCAGCACCGTCTCCCACAAGGGAGGGGTAGAGAAGCACAGAGGCTCTGCGCTGGGCCCCGGACGCCCTGCAGACACCTGGGGATGCGGGTGACCAGGAACTAGTGAGCACCCTGGGCCTAAGCACCCTGAGCTGGTGCCCCGCCCCCACAGTAACTGTAGGTGCTAAATAGCCAACAAGGAGGCTGGAGCTGGGGCCACGCACGAGTGGGCAGCCCGGCCACACGCCTTCCTGTGTGGGGGCATCTAAGCTATTATGTTGAAAGGCAGAGAGGCCCAGGCTGTGAGACAAAGCCCCCCACCGCACCCCGTCCCGGGGCCAGCCTGACTGCGCTCAATCCTCTCAGCCTCTCCCGGGGCCGGGCCGATCCTCCACCCTCCCGTGGCCTGGGGAGCAGCTCTGGTTGCGGATTTACCAGGGAGAGTCCGAGCCTGTCCATTGCAAGGATGCCTGTGGCCCATCCAAGGCCTTCCCCCGTGGGCCCGGCTTTTCAAGTTCCCCATGAGGAGGCTCCCAGGGTCCCCAGAAGGCCCCGCCACTCGCATCCTTGGCTTCAGAGCAGGCGGTCCACTCTGGCCCTCGAGGGAAAGGCTCCTGGGAGGGGCTGACGCGGAGCCGATGGCAATGACAGCGCGGGGTGGAGCGCGATGAGAATGGAGGGGTGACCACGGAAGGACGGCGGAGGGGCGGCCTGGGGCGGGGTGGCCCAGGACAGCGGGAGCCGCGGGAGCCGCGGGGCCCCTGTGCGCGCGGTAAGACAAGCCTCAGCCGCGGGACTGAGGCTGCAGCACATGGAGGGCAGAGAGACAATGCGAACGTCCACGAATCCGCGGAGACGGGCGCGCCTGAGGCGGTGGTGGCAAACCCAGACCGGTGGGGTTACTGGGAGGTCAGTGACCCGTGAGGCCTCATCGGTAACTGGCCCACCAAGCAGGGGGTTGGCTCCTGAACCTGAACTCCAGGGAGCGGGTAGATGTGTGCGTGTGTGTCCGCATACCGACATACACACACACACATGTATGTATATGAGCGCATATACATACAGACACTGTAGTGCACATCGTCAAACACATGCATAAGTTGCCCTGTGTCAGAAATATTGCATAAGCTTGTACAAGGTCCGAATGCAACTGTTTCTAGAGCTAGCCAGTGGAGGAACTGGTGAGGGAGACGCGGGTCGATTTATGTACACTGGATCCATAGGCGGCCTTCCTCGGGGCCCGAGGCCCCGGACGGCTGCCCAGTCCTGCCCCTGGCTCAGCTGCTGAGGTGTTTAGACACTGCCTTCCCCGCTCGCTCTCCTGGCTTTGCCGAGGTCTGTGCCCCCATCCGGAAGCGCAGGGATGGGGGTGGGCTGGAGGGCCAGGAGTTTGGGTCCCCATTCTGAATAGTCAGTCTATTTTTTTTCTCCTGATTGAGGGCTTTTTCTCTCCCAATGGAGGTGGGGGGGGGGCATGGGGTGGAATACCCCAGTTCAATGCCATTCCTAGGCTATTAATACTCTAAAGGCGAATACTGTGTAGGCTACTATGAAAATAGGTTATCTCCTGTGTTGTAAATATTGAGGTTCATGCAACAAGCACACCCATGCAGCTCTGCGGCATCAGGGGAGCCGGGAAAGCAGACACCCGCAAACCCCCCACCCCTGGGGTGGCCCGGAGACGGGACGTGCGTTTGTGACCCGGCAGCCTGCAAAAAACGGTGCCGTCTGGAGTGCAGAGGTCCCTGGGTGTGCCAGCGCCTCTCCCCGGGCCTGAGGGAGCAAAGGAGAGACTTGGCAACCTGCAGCCGGTCACACGGACGCTCCCTCCCCCGGGCTTCCCTCTCTCACCGACACTGCAGAGGGGAAAAAAAAAAAAACACAAAAACCCAAATGCAGCATTTTCCGTTATGAAACACCAGCCTCCGGAGCAGCTACTTGGCAGCTGCGAACCACAGACCCCAGCCTGTGACCGAGAAAGGGATTCCAGCACACAGGACCGCGTGTTCTTTCCCCCGTGCCACATGGGACCTCTCGCGTGGTTACCGGCACATCAAAGCCAAGCCCCCTTGGTTCCCTGTGCAGGGGGCTCCGATGGGAGGGCCTGAGGGGGGAGGGGGGAAAGGAGAGGGGTGCAGGGGGTGTGTGTGCCTCTCCTGGATGCTGTGTGCATTAACCCAGGGAGGGAAAGGGGGGGTCTCAGGGTATGTATGTGCTATGAGGTGGCCCCTCAAGATCCCGGCTCCACAGGCAGCTGCCCTCTTTGGAAACCCCCTGGAGCCGGCGGCAGCGAAGGTTCGCGTGAAAAGCCATGGACATAGCTACTCTGTGTTCTAAGCCAAAAATCAAAAGATGTCACTTGCACGACTAACTGCTTCCCATGCAGGACCGGGTGACACACCTTGGAAACAGACCGACTGCCGCGCAGGCTGTTGTTATGCAACGCACGGCCTGCGCTCAGGCCCGCGGAGCTGCGGGCGCGCTCACAGGAGGGGCTGCCGTCAGACGTCGGTTAGCATCTTGGTGATGTTCACATAGTTTGTGTTGGCCAGCGTGCAGTTGGCCGTTTTCAAGTTCTCCTCCCTAAAGTCCTCGTTGCTGTTGTTCACCCCCTCCTGGATCTCCATGTAGTCGGACTTGCTGATGGTGGAGGCACTTCTGCTTTTCTTTAGGTCAGGGGAGGACGGGATCTTGGGGCAGCTTGTCACTTGCAAGTACTGGGCCTGCTCCTCGCCCTCCGTCTCCCGGTGGTAGAAGTAGTTGAAGTTGGACACGATGACGGGGACCGGCAGGGCGATGGTGAGCACGCCGGCGATGGCGCAGAGTGAGCCCACGATCTTGCCGCCGATGGTGGTCGGGACCATGTCCCCGTAGCCCACGGTGGTCATGGAGACCACGGCCCACCAGAAGGCGTCGGGGATGCTAGGGAACTGGGACTCTTTCTCATCGGCCTCCGCGAAGTACACGGCGCTGGAGAACAGGATGACCCCGATGAAGAGGAAGAAGATCAGGAGGCCCAGCTCCCGCATGCTGGCCTTGAGGGTCTGCCCCAGGATCTGCAGGCCCTTGGAGTGGCGGGACAGCTTGAAAATCCGAAAGACTCTTACCAGCCGGATGACGCGGAGGATGGCCAGCGACATGGCCTGCTGGCCCTGCTGGGCGTCCTCGGGCTTCTCGGCCAGCTCCGTGCCCAGCGTGATGAAGTAGGGGATGATGGCCACGATGTCGATGATGTTCATGATGTTGGTGAAGAAGCCGGCCTTGCTGGGGCAGGCGAAGAAGCGCACCAGGAACTCGAAGGAGAACCAGATGATGCACAGCGTCTCCACGATGAAGAAGGGGTCGGTGAAGGAGGTGGTCGGCTGGTAGCCCACCGTGCTGTTGGCGTAGGCGTGGAAGGTCACGACCCCGCCGCCGCCGCCGCCGCCATGCATGTCCTCGTTCTCGTCCCGGAAGATGGGCAGCGTCTCCAGGCAGAAGCTGACGATGGAGATCAGGATGACCATGACGGACACGATGGCGATGATCCGGGCGGGCCCCGAGCTCTCCGGGTACTCGAAGAGCAGCCACACCTGCCGCTGGAACTCGTTCTCGGGCAGCGGCCGCTCCTCCTCCTTGATGTAGCCCTCGTCCTCCCGGAACATCTCCATGGCCTCCTCGCCCAGCTCGTAGAAGCGGATCTCCTCGGAGAAGATGTCCAGCGGCACGTTCACGGGGCGGCGCAGGCGGCCGCCCGACTGGTAGTAGTAGAGGATGGCGTCGAAGCTGGGCCGGTTGCGGTCGAAGAAGTACTCGTTGCGGAGCGGGTCGAAGTAGCGCATCCGCTTCTTGGGGTCCCCCAGGAGGGTCTCGGGGAACTGGGCCAGGGTCTTCAGCTGCGTCTCGAAGCGCAGCCCCGAGATGTTGATCACCACCCGCTCGCAGCACTCGTGGTCGGCCTCGGGGTCGTAGGTGTCCTGCGGGTGCCCCGGGAGGGCCGCGGCCTCGTCCGCCGGCTCTCCGGTGGCCACGGTCATAGTGGGGGCCGAGAGGGGCGCCTCACGCTACACGCCTGCCTGCCCGCTGCCCGGCGGCAGGAGCTCAGGGTGCTGCCTCCGGTGGGGCCGGGAGAGGCGGGCGCATGGGCCTGGGCCCCTGCGGGGGAGCCCGGGGGCCCTCTGGGAGCCGGGGACACGGCGTGGCTGAAAGACAGAGGCCGCGAAGGACGTGAGGCCGCTCGGTGCCGGCTGGGTCGCTAGTCTTGTATCTCCCACCAGAGGCACCGCCCCAGCCACGGAAAAGCACAGTTTCATTTCAGCTCGGAGCCTGGCTGGGGGTCATGGAGGGGCCCCTTTGGAGTGCCCTGCATTGAGGGAGGGTGGCGGGCCCCTTTGCATTCATGCTGGAGCATAACCCCGGACTGGAGGCTGGAAGAGAGCCCTCCCGCAGGCGCTGAGCTAAGGTCTTGCAGACGCCTGCGCCCTGGGAGGTATTGGCGGTGGCAGCCCTCGGAGCCGGGTCCCCCTCACCGTCCCCACGCGGGCACTCCGCCATGCGTGGCTGTTATTAAACAGGAGACTGACTTACCTGGGAGGCAGGGGCGGGGGCGCTTTTCCTCGCAGAGCGGATCAGCTGGCGAGGGAACCCTAGCTGCACACGCGGGCAGCCTGGCTCCCCATCACACTTCCACGCTCGGGCTAGAAAGAATGGTGAGTCATCGTGGGCGGGAGGGCGGGCGCCAGGTCCTGGAGGTGAGTGAGCTCCAGGTCTGGGCTGGGCCTCGGGGGCGGCGGGGGTCTGGTCAGGGGCACGCGGGAGGCCAGGGCAGCCGCGCGTGGGGCCGGAGCCTGTGGAAGGAAGGAGGCGAGATGCAAAGGTCAGCAGAAGCCGGAGTCTCAGGAGGTGGGGCAGTGCCTCAGAGAGGGGGGTGGCGGTGGGGGGGGGGGGGGGGGGGACGGACACCAGCTGCCCTGCAGCCCTGCGCCCCCCCCCCGCCCCCCCCTCACATGCCCTTCCTGTCCTGGGTCCTGGGGTCACACCTGAGACTCCCCCTCAGCCCCCTGCCCTCCATCCCCCTCAGCCTCCTCTGGGCTGGAACAAGCCTTGGCCGGGTCTATCTGCTCCAGGGGCCTCCGGGCTGAGCCAGGTCCCCTGGGGGCCCCCAGCAGCCATCAGGAGGGACCCCAGGCCAGGCCCGGCCTCCGGGAAGCGGAGAGCTCCCCACACTGCAGCCTGCCCCCGCCCTGACCTCCGCAGGTCCCCCAGCACCCGCGCGGCTCCCTCAGAGCTCGGCCAGGGGACTCCTCCCGCAGAGCTCGCTCCGCAGCGCTGCCTGGCTGGGGCCCAGGGCCGATGCGCCCCCGGGCATCCCCTCCCGGCGCTTGGCCTTGGAGCCGGGCAGACGCTGGACCACCGACCTCTCCCCAGAGAGAAGCCCCCCTCCTCCTCCTCCTCCCCACCCCCTCACCCCCCCCCCCCCCCGGACAGGGGCAGCGTGCGGCCAGCCCGGCTGCCCCGCGGCGTGGCGGCAGCAAGAGGGGGGCCTGGAGGCCGGCCCCATGCCGCCCGCCCGGGTCGGAGCGGAGGGTCTGGGTCCGCTCCCCGCGCCCCGGCCCCGGCCCCGGCCCCGGGCCCGGCCGGGATTCCGCCGCGCGCGCCCCGCGCTCGTCTCCGCGCGGCGGCCTAGACCCACCGCCGCGGCGCCGCTTAACCCCGTCCTGCCCGGCCCGCGGCGCAGCCCGGCTCCGGGGCCTGCGGGGCGCAGCCCGGGGACCCCCGGCGCCATCCGCACCCGGAAACTCCGGAGCCCGCCCGGGGGGCGAGGAGCGGCGGCCTCCCGGCCTCCCGGTCTCAGCCGCCTCCCGGGCGGGCGGCCGCGGGGAAGCGGAGAAGCCCTTCCCGGCCGCAGAGCCGGTGGATCCCGGGCCGGAGGCGCCCCAGCCCGGCGTCCTGGCGCCCCGGTCCCGCCAGCGCCCCGGTCCCGCCGGCCGCGGAGCTATTTACCGGGCGCGGCGGCTCTGCGACAGCGGCACCTCCATCCCCGCCGGCGCCCCGCGCCCCGCGCCCCGCGCCCGCGCTCCCGGGGTCCCCAGCCCCCTCGGCGTCCCCCTCCCGCGGGGCGCCGGCCCCTCGCCCCCGGCCCGGCATCCCCGCCCGGGGCTCAGCCCGACCCCCGCGCTGCAGGTGGCGCCGGGGCCCCGCAGCCCAGCGCCCCGACCCCGATGTACCCTTCCGGCCGCGCTCCCGGCGCCTCCATGTCCTGGGGCCGCGGCGGCGGCGGGTGCGGGCGCGGCGGCCACCGGAGCGGCTCTGCAGTCCCGCGGCGGCGGCGCGTACGGAGCGAGCGGAGCGCCCGGCCCCGCCGCAGCCCCGCACGCAGCGCCGCACCTGCCGCCGCGGCCCCAGTTAAAGGCGCCGGCGGGCCGGGCCGACCGCGGGGCGCGCGCCCGCCGCCGCCAGCGCCGCCGGGCTGAGTCCCGGCCTCGGCCCCCGCCCCACGGGCAAACGCCCCCCTTTGGCGGGGCCGGCTCCCCAGCCAGAAGCCGGCAGAGACCTCCGGGGTGGGGGGGGGGGGGGCAGGGGAGAGGTTGCGGGCAGGTCGGGAGGGCTTCCTGCCCAGGACTGAGGCGGGCGACGCGGAGCCTGCAGAGCCGCTGGCCGGGCTGGCCGGGGGGTGGGGGTGTTAGGGTTAGGGGGGGAGGAACCCGGCCCACCGGACGGGGGGTTGCGGTCATGTCGATGCTGTCATGCTGCTGACCTGGATCTGACGACCCCTCGGTGGCCCCCTCCAGCCCTGCCTCTCCTCCGCCCTCTCGCCCAGCGCCGCCTGGCTCCCTCCGGCCGCGCAGCAGGTGCGGTGGCCGCAGTGTGGCTCAGACCTGCTGCTGCGGTGGCCCCCCCGCCGCGAGGAGCCGCGGGCCGGTCCTCCTGGCCCTCCCCAGGGCCAGGGCAGGGACGGCTGGGGGACCTGCAGAGGCCCTAGGGGAGGGCCACTGAGCAACCCTCAGGCCATGCAGAGCCAGCTGGAGCACGGGGCCTTGAGATGGGAGTGCAGCTCACAGCCCCCCGGGGCGGGGGTGGAGGGGACAGGGAGGGGGCACAGAGAGGATGTGTGTGGGAAGCACAGCCTGCCCTCTGCTCAGATGTGGGACCTGGGAGGGTCCAGGGTGCCCTTGGGGGCCACAGCCCAGCCCAGCCCCCGGGATCCCTCTTCCCGGAGCCCAGCCTGCAATGCGGAGGCCAGAGGCTCCTGCTGGAGGGCCTCCTCTCTGGGCCTGCAGCTTGTGGTGGAAGCTTCCAGAGCCCAGAAGGTCCAGCTGGTGGGATCCTGCCCTTCCATCTGGGTGGTCTACCCAGAGCTGTGGGGGTGCGTGGGGGAGGTGGGGGAGGGTAGTGATCCAGGGAGCTCCTGGGGTGACAAATGATGCCAAGGCAGGGCTGGCTCCGTTTCAGGCTCCTTGAAGCCGGGCCGTCCGTGTCCCGGGCAGAGGATGGCCTGGGCGTTTGGAACTGGCCAGGCGGAGACCTGAGATCCCTGCCCAGTTGGCGGCAAGAGAAGCCACGTCTCCGGACCGCGGTGTCCTCAGAACACCGCTACCTCCTGGGCGGCGGTCAGGGTGGCGTCAGCGACAGAGACCTGAGCGCCGGCAGACGCTGCCCTGGGCCTCGGGAACTCCCCACCTCCCTGCCGCCTGCAGCTCAGCTCCTGGCTGTTCCTCCGCTGGCACCGTCGCCAGGGCCCTGCGGCCCCATCCTCTCTGCATAGAAGCTCCCCCCCCCCCTTTCCCCGAGGTCCCAGCCATTCTCACCGCTGCACCCGACTGCCCCCCAGCACCCCACTCCACACCCCTGGACCAGCCCCCGGGGGCTGGCTCTCCTCCCCGCATTGGGTCCCCAGTCAGTCACAGCCCAGCGGCCTTTTCGGGTCCATATATCTCCTTCGCTTCCCCTGTTAGAACAAAAGCTGTAGCCAAAACCGGTTTGGCTCAGTGGATAGAGCGTTGGTCTGCAGACTGAAAGGTCCCAGGCTCGATTCCAGTCAAGGGCATGTACCTTGGTTGCGGGCACATCCCCAGTGGGGGGTGTGCAGGAGGCATCTGGTCGATGTATCTCTCTCACCGATGTTTCTAGCTCTCTATCCCTCTCCCTTCCTCTCTGTGAAAAATCAATAAAATATATATTTTAAAAAAGCAAAAAAGCCGTGGACAGAGAAAAACTCCGGCGGGAGAAAGAACAGCCATGCTGACTGGTGACAAGTGCCGACCACACTCAGACCCTGCTGGGGCCTCCAGCCCAGCGGGACAGTTCATCCTGGCGGCTCTCGTAGCGTCTACGTTAGGGGTGTCGAACTCAATCAGAGAAGGGGCCAAAATCTAAAATCCAGCCTAAATTGCGGGCCGAATGGTTTACTGAACAGTCATAAACTGTCATTGTGATGGAAACGCAGCGGAGTGCAGTGATGACAGCGTGGTGCGGGCCACATTGCAAGGCCTGGCGGGACGGATTTGGCCCGCGGGCCTTGTGTTTGACACATGTGGTCTACGTCATCATCACTGTTTCAGGAAAAGGAAACTGAGGCAGAGGGGGTGGAGCACCCTGCCGTGGAGGGAGGGCTCCCCGACCGGAGTGAGGCCCAGAGCCTCCAGGACACACGCCCCAGCCCCCACCCGTCCCCGCTCCGTAAGGCGGGCGGCACGTGGCGTGCATTGCCCTCGTTGGGATCTTCCTCGGACCCCGTCCCGTCGGATGTAGCCATGGCTTCTTGGGGTTTGAAGGGAGAGGAGGGATGGGAGGGAAGGCCTCGGGGTTATGGCATCCTTTCTCCCCCTGTGAGGCCTAAGTGTGAACAACAACAAGAAGGAAGGGAAGAAGGACATTAACAAACAGAAACACCGTCACCGCAGCCGCCCGGAGAGTGGGCGCAGCTCCAGGGCCCGGGCCTAGCGCGGACCCCTGCTCGCCGGTGGGAACGTGAGCGGGTGGCGTTGGAGAAAGGCTCCGTGCCTCAGTTTCCTAGCTGGCTGAGCAGCCATTCCAGCTTCCTGTTCACAGGAGGGCTTCCTCCTCCAGGAAGCCTTCCGAGATTAACCCCGGCTGCCTCTGAGGAGCTGCTGTGTGGAGGCCTGGGCCGCGGCTCAGGTCCTGAATCAGTGCCCTCACACTCAGCGCACTCCACTGCAAGCCGCGGCCAGATAAAAATGGCTACAGGGGCCTCCCGCACGGTTCCCGGCTGCCGCTGTCAGGCACTGGGCGGGTGCCTCACCGTCAGACTGACACCGGAGGCAGCAGTTTTTGGTTCCCTCCGGCCCCGGGGCCCGCGGGTCTGGGCCTCCTCCCGGGCCTGCCTGCGTGGCTCAGGGACCCGGTTCCGGGCCCGGGCGCCGTGCCGCGTGGCTGGAAGGAGAGACACTCGGAACAGAGCCCGTCCCAGAGCAAACACCCAGGGCCAGCTGTGGACACGTCATCCCGGGCATCGCCACCAGGAGACGCCCCTCCGTCGGGGATGGAGGAGGGAGGGGTTTGCGATGAAGTGACAGCCACACGTCTGTGTCCCAGGCCTGCGCCCGGGCGCCTGTGACTCCGCTGCCTGAGGGGGTCCGCCCCCGAACACGGGCAGTGTCCCTCTCAGTCCCGGCTCAGGCCCTTTCGGAGCTGCGATGCCCAGGTGGCCCGGACGTCTGGGGAGAGGACCTGACTGCCCCCTCCCACCGGCAAGAGGGACCATTCCTGCTCCGCGCTGGCACCTCCACCAGCTCCCCGACGGCTCCCGGAGGGGACCAGCTGGCCTGAGCAGGCAGAGCCGGGGCGGAGGTGGCTGGTCCCAGGGCCCTGGCGCTGACCCTGGCTGACCCCGGACGCTCTGTCTCCAGCCCAGGCTCCTCTCCGGGGCAGCAGAGCCGTTAGCCCCACTTCCCGGGCGCGTCTCCCTCACGTTCCCCTCGTCGGGGAGACGCACCTTTTATCCTATTGCCCAAACCGGAAACCAATAAAATCCTTCTCCGCTCTCTCACCCACCACCCCCACCTCCAGCCACCCCCTTAGCCTGGGCATCTGCCCACTCTCCTCTGGCTCTGTCCCTTCGCTCTGACCTGGTTCAGGCCACCAGCAGGCATGGCCTGGGCAGCTGCAACCGTCCTGCTCCCCGCTTTCACACCAGCCCCAGCCCCACCCCACCCCACCCCACCCCAGCTCCTCTCCACAAGCTGCCCTGGCCGTCACTCACCTCTGACCTCCTTGCCTGCTATGATACAACCTGCATGTCCCAAAAGGCACATGGAGCCATTTACCACCTGATGCTTCCCGCCTCCCTCCGTCCCCATCCTACGGCATCAAACCAAACGGCCGGGAAGGCTCTCGCCGGTTCGAACCGAAGGGTTCGGTAAAGACCTGGACTCGCCGAAACTGCTTTGGCTCAGTGGATAGAGCGTCAGCCTGCGGACTGAAAGGTCCCAGGTTCTTCAGTCCCAGGTTCGATTCTGGTCAAGGGCATGTACCTTGGCTGTGGGCACATCCCCAGATCGATGTTTCTCTCTATCCCTCTCCGTAAAAAATCAATAAAATATATTTAAAAAAAAAAAATCCTGGATGACCTCAAGGGGACATGGAGGACATGAGGTCATGTGTCTCTAGGAAGTGGCAGGCCGCCCCGGTGCCCCCAGCCACGCGGAGAAGGAGGGAAGAAGGTCAGGGATGCTGAGTCCCTTTGGAGGCGGGCCCCGATGGAATTCAGGACAGTGCGGCCCTGACGCTCAGTGCATCTCAATGATGTTCTCCGAGTTCAAGGGGGGCCATTGCCAGGGGGCTCGGGGGCAGGGGGGGACATTTGATGGACTCAGAGGCCAACAAGGGGTCTTTAAGAACAGCCTGACCCATAGACGGATGAACAAGAACAGACCCAGAGACAAGGAGCCATGGGTCAGACTGTTGGACCTCACAGGGAGGGTGGGGACAAAAGGGAGAGATCAAAGGACTTTTGTGCACACATATGAGCCTAACAATAGCGGGGTGGGGGCATGAGTGGGGGGGGATTGGAATGGGGGGCTGAGGACAAATATGTGATACCTTAATCAATAAAGACATAAAAAATAGTAATAATAATAATAAAAAAGAACAGCCTGACCGTTACACAGCACTTAGGCAAGGCTTGCCCGGGAGGCTGAGAAGCAGAACCGGTGAGAGATTGGAGAGGAAACCAGCAGGTGACAAACCCGTGCCTATTGGCTGCAAGGAGCCTGGTCTGCAGAGGCAGCTGGACCTCGTCCAGGAGCCCCGATC